TCCATTGTATGCATTATCATTTCCAAAGTCGAAACGTGGACGTGGTACATTCTCAGACGTTTTGCCGGCATCGTAGTCGGCATCGTTAGTGAGTTTTGCCGTTCTTAGCACCATATCACAACTCCTCAAAGGGACAAGTGAAGCCGATCCTTTGACCAAACGTGGGCTACACACTTATGGTATCTCCCCTTCTGCCCTGGCCTATTCACATTTCATATATCCTCCGATCACGCCTTCAATGTCACAATTTTTTACTTGCTTAATTAAATGCGGTACGGTGTGCCCTTTTGAGCGGCTTTCATGGGAACACTCCGCACTCCATGCTAGCCTTCTCACCCGCCTTCATCCTTTTGCTAGGAATGTTAATCAGAGTCTGCCATATTGTTACGAAGTCCTCCTTCCATAGGTCTTACCACAGTCTGTCTCTTTCCCCGTAAGATTAGTCTGCCCTCTCTCTTGTTCACATATTTCACTCGACCCCGGCCACCCAATCTGTGCCACTCGAGGCGTTATTCGCCCTCCCCTGCGTCTAGGTGACTAATTGGAGGCTAAAACCTCTGAGTAAATCTCATGGTCACGCCTTTGCCACATAGACCACGTCTCTTATAAAACCTACTCTCAGCCCACCAGCTCCCATCGCCGCCGCGTCTATCATGTTTCTATATCTAATACCAAGTCTATGACTTCCCATTCCATAGACTCTTTTGTGCTAAGCCACAAAGGTTGTGGTTCATTATTGAACCTAACCAAAGCAAGCAGTGAAATATGTGAACCAGGGAAAGAGCAGACGGATCTTACGGGGCAAGAGAGAGACTGTGGTAAGACCTAAGGAAAGAGGACTGCGTAACAATATGGCAGACTCTGTGAACATTTACAGCACAAGGATAAAGGCGGGTAAGAAGGCCAGCATGGAATGCGGAGGTTTCCCATGAAAGCCATTCTAAAAGGCACACCGTATCGCATTTAATTAAGTAAGTAAAAAATTGTGACAGTGAAGGCGAGATTAGAGGATATATAAAATGTGAATAGGCCAGGGCAGCACACGTTTGGTCAAAGGATCGGCATCACTTGTCTCTTTAACGAGTTGTAATATGGTGCTACGAATGGCAAAACTCACTGATGATGCCGACTACGATGCCACCGAAACGTCTGAGAATGTACCACGTCCATGGTCCGACTTTGAAAATGATTATGTATACAATGGACTCCGGACAAGTTGCGTTCCTCTACGTCTTCCTACCAATATGACCAAGTTGCCAAAACAAGGTCAAACAACTTCTGTAAATTAATATACTTCTACAATTGCATAGTGAATTTTAGCTTTTAATCGAAACTATTTGGAAACAAAAGGAAACATTATAGAATCTCTATACTATGTTGAAGTATCCTTTAGTTCTTTTGAAGAGGCGAGTTGAAGGGATTCGTAAGTTGGCTTAACAGCAAGCTGTAGGAGAATTGCCTTGGAGCTGGGATTGTAGATATGTATGAATTAGTCTTCGGCATACCACCCTGCGACCCCGAGGAATCATCGTTGAGCTTCCCTCCGTCATGTGGCGGACATTGTCAGAGCGGGACTTCATGCCTTTCATTAATTAGTTGAGCACAAAGACAAGAGAGGTGGGCGGCTGCAATCCCAACTACTTTTTATGTTTTAGCTAGGTCCACCTAGTGAAGCATCTCATAATTTTATTGGAGGTCCTATGCTTTTCATACATGGTGTTGGAAAACGAAGCGGCTGCGGATGACATGTGAAGTAGCTGCAATTGATTTTCGTACTCACAAACGTTTGCAGGCTGTTTTATTTTCGAATAACCTCTAATGTATGAGTCGATAGGTCTTATCCACATAGACGCAACCACATGAACACAAAATATTATAGCAGACCGATTTGGAAATTGGATTCGAAATTTTCCGAAAAGATGACATTACTGAGGAAAGTGTTATTTGCTCCTTATAAATTGACCAGATATCTCACGACCTTAGTAGATCACCTATCCTTTTAGAAGCTGGCATGACAGTAACATCAGGATTATAGGAGAGTGGTCCAGCAACCTGTCTTTCCTCAAATAGATTATTCCTAAAATCCTATTCGCTTATAGTTTAAAGCAATTCTCAATTAATCCTAATGTGGAATCATTCTCAACTACAACTTTTCTTAATATACTCAGTTCCTGCTCCCGGTGGTTAATATCTGCAAGACACATGCTCCTTAGTATGATGGATTTCATACCTCCTACTTTAGCCCCACAGGTATGGCCTGAAAAAAATTTAAATAAAACCCAGTATTTGTGGGTTTCCTATGCAAATTCTTACCCAGTTTGCCTCCCACTTTGCTAGCTAAGGAATCCATAAAGGTAAAATGCTCTCCTTTTCTAGTTCCATGATGAACTTTATATTCCTGTCGATTCCATTGGTCAACATTATAAATGCTTCTAAGCTTTCTTTGCTATGTTACTGCACGGCATATAAGTCATCCATGTACCTAGTAAATAATTTTGAAACTCAAAGTGCTCTTATATTAGGTGGCTATCGAATTGAGCCAAGTAGTTATTTGCTAAAATTTGTGATAAATATGATCCAATATATAAGTCTTCTTTTTGTTCGTACAATCTACTATTGAAAGAAGGCTATTTATGGCTCATCACTAAGTTCGTCAACCTCATTATTGACGCCTAACTAAAATTTGTATTTATCAGAGTATCTGTCGAAAGTTTCTTCTAGATCCTTCTATCCTCTGTTCATCGACTAACTGAACGAATGCCATAAGGCAAATTTATCAACTAATTACCTATCAAATAATTTAGGATCTAAAATTGCTTCTTCTATAAGACGACTTTGTTATCGAACCATGTGTTTAATACTAAAATTGGGAAAACCGCTATTCCATAGCTAATCCACCTTCATATTTGTTTAAATTTTGATCAAAAGTATATGAGAACACGTTATTACTTAATTCTTCATCATAATTACTGATTCCTAACCTAAATTTGTTTTAGAAATGGGTTGTCGTGAGTCTCAGCAACTGACAATGGACTTGGTACATTCTCAAACGTTTCGCCGGCATCGTAGTCGGCATCATCAGTGCGTTTTGCCATTCTCCGCACCAAGTTACGAACTCGCCAAAGCAATAAGTGAAGCCCCTCCTTCGACAAATGATCTACCGAAAACGGTTACGCTATCACTCCTCTTTCTGTCCTGGTCTATCTATCTACTCTTTACCCTCTTCTCCCACTGCCGCCCTATAACAACTTCCCACTTGTTTACATTCTACTCGTCGATATGTGTGCCCTTTTGTGGAAAATCAAGTGCGGCCTCATCACATCTCCTACTTACCCCGACCCTTCTCTGTCGATCGGCTTATCCGACTCTAGCCTCCATTCCGGATCCCCTCATTGTCTCGTAGATCCATTTTTCTCTTTCCGGTTGACCGATTACATTTGGTTCCAGTCCCTGTGTGCATTTTACTCCAGGCACTATTTCTTAAGGCCCTAGAATCACGTACACTGCCGCTTGACTGAGCGGAGCGCCT